TATTAAGCCCAATTTGGTCTGGGCCCGAGGTGGGCTTAATAACCGGCTACTATTGTAGCGCGAATCCCTGTAAGGGGACCCAGGTCAAAAAAGACGCACTTATTCAACCATGTCATCAGGCCGAGGTGACTCAGCCTCAGTCTTTGTGGCCTCTAAGCTGGAAGACCTTATCCGCTATGCTTTTATCAATTTGTTCGTTAACTTTTATTTCATCTCCCCCTCAAACAGTCTTCATATGCTCCACCGTTGACTCCTAATAGGTGGAAGTTGTGATGGCGAAAGAAAGCCTGTGGATGATGGCGCATTGAATCAGACTGCAGCTGAGTTCCTTCGCGGCCGCTACCCCCTACGGCATTACTGGGATCTTTGCGATACTCGTCTGCTGGTTGTAGAGGCTGCAGAACTCCCCTCGGAACATCCGGCTTCAGGTGGAGACCATGACAACGCTGCCGTTGCTGCTTCTGATTCTGACGATGCATTTGATTTACACCGACCTCGATCTCAGATCTCGTCTCTGTCCGAATGCGATGGACAGATTTCCACAAATGGCAAGGTCTACGACTCCTCTACGCCTGGCTGTCCAGTAAGTTTTCCTGCCTCTCAAAAAAAGGTTTTGTGCACTGATAACTTTTCAAAAGGCTTTTACGCGGCCAGCGCTCTACGATTGATCTACGAGGCTCACCGTGAGCCGTGAATTTAATCACACTTGGATCGATTTTACCCGCTTAACTTACCCCTCGTGTGGAATCCACCATTACGGAACAGCAAGCTGACTGCCCAGGCAGGATTTCCTACGCAATGATCTGGACTCCACCGGAATGACTACTAGCTTCACGTAATTGTTTGGGGGGAAGGTTGGCAGATTTGAATAATTTAGTTGACCTAATTGTGAAAAATGCGTGGCCTCAGTGGGAGTCGAACCCACGCAGCAGGGAAGGCTTTTGCGCAGCCAAAGCTCCACCACTGTGAACCATTAATTTAATCACACTTGGACCGATTTTACACCCCAAACCTACAGTCTTCCTTGCTGTGTGAATTCGAATTCCACCTAGGCCGCGACTTTTTCACAATTTGGTTAACTGACTTACCCCCGTAAACATTTTCAAAAGTTGTGCTTCTTACCATAGCAGACAATGGAGATAGTAATAGGCAGAATAACGAGAATCAAAATTTTTCTGGGGATTTTCTCCAGTGTGACAGCCGCATAGTCCACCTTAGGCCTCAGCATGCTGATCTGTTCTCAGTTCTTCCGCCAGTTATTCGTTCTCGGCCATTATAGCATACTGTTATATGGGACTGAGTAATAAAAGACGAGATGCCGTATACCATAATCCAGATGATAGAGCGTTTCTAACCGTATCAATGCTTCAAAACTCTGTGGAATAATTTCATTGACGGGGTGGAACCACATTGCAGTTTGTGCAAACCATCTATAAACCTCAGTCGCTTGTCAGATATTGGTCCTACGGTAGAGATTGTTGTCCGCTACAACGACAGCAGGCGGTTACGTTTACTTCATTCAAATTAACTAACTTACAAATTTTAACTAATTCATCATATTATCTTGGTCGGACAAGTAGGCGGTTATCCAAGCGCATGTGAGAACAGCATCCTGCTTGGCTAAACAGAGGCGAGGTAAAATCAATATCATGCGCGATTTTGGCTAACTTGGTTGACAGCGGTCCCCGGGTAGACGTAAACCAAACGTTTCAACTCATGTATAAAGTGCCGGGGAAGCATTCCACGTTCCTACGTCAGCAGATACTTGCGATGGCAGAGGCAGTCGCCATACGCCTCACTAACACAAGAAGACGTTTGTAGCGGCCCTAAGGCTCTCGTGGCCGAAGACCAACTCAACATCCGTGCACACACTTTACCTTGCCGCGAATCGGTGACGGGGCAGCGCTAGCAAGCATCTCCAGGCCACCCACGCCGTCATGAGGTGATGACAACTTGCTTCCTCACGCCTACCAACAAAACGCGAAACAAGGACGATGGGGCGAGGTGAACTAACTGTCGGACCCCTTTCCCCTCTCTGGTCCTCAAGTAAGACTAGAATCTTATCCCTTTGATCCCTTAACACCTCTCCCCTTTTGACCCTGATTACTACTGATTGGTTGCTTAAACTTTTGTTAATTCTACTCTCCCTTATAGTATTGTATTAGTCCGATGTTGAATTAATCGAAAACTTTCGTTCGCCTAACTTGACTCTTTAAGTAATCATAGTGACGACACAGGTACTGGCCGAAAGCTCAGACTCGTGTTTCACCAATTCTCTTCCGCAATTTGGCGCAGCTGAGAGGGGTTCGTCTCCTTAGCAGATCTCCCAGGGTTCCCTCGTGTGCTTAATGGCGGAGGACTAATAGATTTCAACTTCGATATGCATAAGAACTTGAATCGAGCCTGAAAAGGTTGACCAGGCACCATTTTTACCAAATTTCTGCGTTGATTTCTGAAGAAATTGAAAAGCTAGATTTGAATCCTTTTAGCTAACTATGTGAAAGATACCGTACGGACAAATTGTGAAACAAAGAAAATGAGTGAGTGGGGGACGGGCGGGGATTGAAATTGTACTGCCACCACCCTGTGCTCTGTCGCCTGCGCTTATTATCGAATGCTGCAACACTAATAGAGCCTTCGTGAGGCTAGGCCGCCGTACTATCAGCCAATTATAAGAGCGCATAGGACGCACAGAAACCAAGTCGAGCCCTCCGAAGAAGACGGTTAAAATGACGAGGCAAACTTATCCGTCCTAATCTTCATTAACTCAATTATACCACTAAATAGTTCTTTCTTGGACCATAGTCTTACTCAGCATAACTTATCTCGATGCCCCTTGTATGCAACCATCATCAGTGGAGAAGGCAGCAAATCAGGAAATTTAGGTTCACGGATGCAGAAATTTACGCGCGGAGGGGTATTATGTCAAATATCGTATAGATTTTTGTGTTATCCATTTTACCTGCCAATTCTAACAGTAATGAAAGAGGACATTCGCTTTCCAAGTATTTGCATCAGTAAAGAAGAAAAAGGGTCGAACACCGGAACGATGTGT